CTGAGCATCACTGGGTATGACCCAAAAAACCAAAAAAAAAAAAAACCAAAAAAAAAAAGAAGGGGGCCTGGGACCAGAACCATATTACCGCATGTAGAGCATTTGACTTGCACACGGTCAAACCAGGTTTAATTCCCAGCACCCCATATGGTCCCCCAAGCCCACCAGGAGTGATCCCTGGGTGCAGGGCCAGGAGTTCACTGTAAGCATCGCCAGGTATGGCCCCAAAACACAGAGGGGGTGCAGAGAGATAGTATAGGGGGTAAGGTGTTTGCCTTGCATGTGACCAACCCAGGTTCAATCCCAGGAACCACATTTGAACCCAACCAAGAATGATCCCTGAGCACAGAGCCAGGAATAAGCCCTGAGCACTGCCACTGCCCCATCTCAACAACAAATTAAGTGAAAGAATTCATGAACTACCCTTTTGTGTTACGTTAGCCCCTGTTCCTTTTTAAATGTCTATTTTAGTAGTATGTCTTCATCTATTTTGTTTCTTGAAATCTTAAAAAGCCCAGGGAAGGCTGCCTTCCCCGGCAGTAACTGCTGTGCTCAGCTGTCTTTCCTTGCAGACCTTTCTAGATGCATTTTCTACATACTTGCTAGCGGGGCTCCTTGGCACAGGGTTTTGCAAGGCTCGTTGCATAAAGGGGATCATATGACACTGGTTTTTCTGTAACTTGCTATCTCCTCATAATGGCTCGCATCCCAGAAGTTGCTGCCTCATGCCCACAGGTCATTGAACCAGCCCCTGCTTGAGCACTTGGGTGTGCAGAGCCAGCCCCGCACGGCACACTCATGCAGGCATTTCTGCAAGACAGACCTGGGTGTGCTGTTCTTGATGCTGACTTGAAGCCCTGCAAACCCAACTTTTTAAGTTTAGCGCCTGTTTGCTGGTAGCTCCGAGTGGGCCTTTCCCTGGACTGTTTCCCTCAGAGCTTCACCTCAGGGGGCGCAACAGACCAAAGCCCTGGGCTCAGCAGGGTCAGACTGCACTTGTGGCCAGGGTGTCCTGGCTAGGGCCAGCCCCAGCCAACAGGGTGAGCTGAGGGAGCTTGCTTGCTCACACACACACACACACACACACACACGCACGCACACACACACACACACACAAATACGGGGCTTCTCAGCCCTCCCTCTCCACAAACCCACTCTGCCTGCCTTGGTTGGAACAGGGAGCAGATGATCTGGCTCCAGCCCTAGATAAATGGCCATTAGCAGGTCACTCAGTGCACTGAGAGTCCCTTCCTCCAGCGCAAAATAGGGTTACAACATCCAGGGCTGAGGCCTCAAGTGTGAAAGAACCGTTGAGACCTAAGTTAACAGCACCCAGTCCTGCTCCTGCTTCTGCTCCTGTCTCCTGTGCTTCTTCCTACAAAGTTTTTCGTTTGTTTTATTTGGGGTGGGGGGCAATACCTGGCAGATCTCAGGGGCTACTCCCTGCTCTGTAGGGTAGGGCGAGGCATCACTCCTGGCAGTGTTTGGGGGGGACATGAAGTTTTGGGGGGTGGAACCCAGGTCTCCCGCACGCAGAGCCAGTGCTTCACCTTCTAAGCTCTCTTCCTGGCCCTCCTGTGCTGACCCTTTAGGGGTAGCTCTGCCCACCGGATGCCAACCAAGGTACCTGCTCTCCCTCAAGACATGAGCTAAGCATCTGACTGTTCTTGCGTCACGGTCAGCTCTCTAAAGTAGATGCTCAAGCAATCTGGCTGGGACTAAAGGACGGGCAGCCTTCCACAGACTCTCAGGCAAGGGTCTGTGGTGAACGATCTAGGCAGTGGGACTCAGGTTGGGGCACGCTCCAGCCAATAACAGATAAGCATCCATGGCTAGTGGCCTCGGGCAGGGACAGAGACCATTTCATTCCTCTTTCCTCCAAGAGAAGAGCCGGCTGGGGGCTCTGGGGGCCCTCAGCAGCGGGTGCTTTTTGTAAGGGCCACCCCCAGACCCAGTCAGGTCCAAGCCTTCTAGGTTGAGAGATTCGATTTCATTAGCTCACTCAGGGGTGACTAGGCTCTGGGAAATCAACCAAGCAAGCGACTGATTGATAGCCAGATCAGCAATTTATTAACTAAAGCTGGCAACGGCAGCTGCTTAAGCAGCCTCTGGCTTTGGCGCTGGCTCCGTTCCTTGATCCTTCTCTCAGCAGAAGGAAATTCACTTGTGTGTGCAAATCAGAGTCAGGAGCAGCAGCGTGGCATGGAGTGGAGGATCCCCAGAGGACATGAGAGTTGATGCCACACACACACACACACACACACACACACACACACACACACACACACAAACACACGGGCCTCCACTGGCCCTGCCACCCCGCAGCCGGTAGGGGCAGCTGTGAGGATTCCCACGCAGCCCATGCACTCAGGCCCCGGCCCTGGCTTCAGGCTTTTCCCTGCGCTGAGGCCACACAGCTTCCCCTTGTCAAGTTTCTGTCTCCTGAATGAGCCGCAGGAGACAGCAGGTCCCACAGCAGTGTTCTGCCACGTGTTCTGCATGCTCCGGGGAGGCAGCTCTTGGCCGCTCATGGAACTGCGTTCCTGGCAGGCTCCAGCTCACTCCGCACAGCCCCAGGAGGCCTACACACTGCTCCCCTTCCTGACGGGGAGACCTGGGTGGGATCCCAGGGCTAGCCAGGAGGGACACTGAGCCTTGGACCCCAGGTCATTGGACTACTAAGCCCATGCTCATCACCTCATCTCCATGTTGGAGGGCGACTTGCTCTGAGGCCCAAAGGCTGGAATTGCTTCCTCCTTCCCAGAATTCTGAGATGGGCACTGTAGAGAGCATCTAGGGGGCTGCGTCCTAATTACTGAGTCCTGGGGCCAGAGAATGGGTGTTGGGGGCAGGAAGGGGAGCCTCCAGGTGAAATGCAGTTTCCCTTGCAACCTCAGCCCCTCCTGGCCCTCATCTCCCCCTCCCTACACCCACTGCCCTCAATTCTACCTTCCCTGGGGAGCCCCTCACCTCCAGGGCTCTCCTAGACCTCATCACCCCAACCAACTCCTATTCCTCCTGTCAACCCAGCGAAGCCTCACCTGTCCTGGCCCTCCCGCCTTTCTGTTTTACTGTCATCGTGTCCTGAATGTGACCTTCCTCCCTGTCTCTGAAGCTCTCCCCGAGTCTCTGCACCGGCTCCTGCCCTTCTGGTCCTGTAGTTAATGTTCACAAAGGCCTAAGTGACAGGAGAACTGGGCAGAGCAGGGTTAGCATGAACGCGACTGGGGGTCAGGGAGCTTGCTCAAAAGACTCGAGCTCATGCTTTGCAAGCAGGAAGCCCAGGTTCAGGCCCCGGTACCATTGGGTCCCCCTCAGCTCCCCTAGCACGAATCCAAAAAGAAAGTGGTTGATTCCGAGGTCACCAGTCTCCTGCGCCCAGGCCCCTAACCTCTAGGTTACCCTAAGTTACCCTAGCCTTTGGGTAACTTCCTGGACGCCTCTCTCTGGCCAGCCCGCTGGAACCGTGTGCCAGTGTGGGGAAGGTTCTGGGGAGGCCCTGCTCCCTTCGCCTGAACCCCAGCGCAAAGCTCAGTGGGTGCAGCAGGTGGGCGGCCTGGCAGCAGGCTGCTGCCCGCGAGCGCCCAGGGAGATGCACCCACAAAGCAGAACGCTGTGGGGTGGGGCTGCTCTGGAACCTGCAGGACTCTGGGTCCGAACTCTGGCTTTGCCACTTCCCAAGACTATGGCTGGTAAGGGGACACTTCTTGGGGTTTGCAGGGTGAGAAGTTTTCTAAGCTGACAGGACCTAGGGAGGCCCCGAAGAAGGGGCCTGGTGGGGAAGAAAGAGAATTCACTGTGTCAGGACTGATGTGGCGGTGGGGGGTGGGCGAGCCTGCCGTGAAGCCTTGGTTTCCTCTAGGAATGAGGGACTCCCTCTCCATAGGCACATACCAGCCTCAGGGGCTAGACTCTGCAGAGCACCCTCCCTCCCCGATCTGTGCTTACTCTCCAAGGCAAACAAGGCAAAGACCGGAATTCTAGGCTGGCTTGAAGGTCCCTCCTCTGGGAAGCCTTCCCGGCCTGTCATCATCCGAGGCTACTCCCCATAGTCACAGTTCTCTCTGGTCATACACCTAAGCACCCACTGGACGCTGCTCCAGGTCGGGGAGCTTGTCTGTCTGCTTTGGGGACCCCTGGTCCTGGCACAGAAGACGTGCTCAGTGAGTGGGCACTAAATTAGTCAAGGTCTGGGGAACATTTCTGCTCCGAGCTGTCACTGAGGTGATCACGATCACGATCACGATCATCCTGTTGTTCATCAATTGCCTCAAGCAGGCACCAGTAACATCTCCTTCATCCTAGCCCTGAGATTCTAAAGAGTGCCACATTCAAGGCTCTTTCAGGGTTAAGAGAATGAGACCCGTCATTGTTACTGGTATTTGGCATATTGGGTACACCACGGGGAGTTTGCCAGACTCTGCTGTGTGGGCAGGTTACATTTGGTAGCCTGCGAGTTTGTCCAAAGTAAGAATGAGATAATAAGATGTCGTGCAGCCGCAAATGCGGCCGCATGCTTCTGGGAGCTGGGTTTTATAGTCTCTGGGTCTTGGCCATTGGTGGGATTACACGGCGCCAGGGGGCCGGTTGGTGGTTGTGACCCCCGCCTACTAAAATTTGGAGGATCTGGGTGGAGGATGCTCAGCCCCAATCCGAGCAGGCTTGGAGATCTCAGCCCCGGGACCCACATGCCTTTGTTCCTCTGCCTGTACCCTCAGGCGTGTGGAGAGTGGTCTCAGCATGGTGGTGGCTGGTTCTGGAGGTCTTCGGCTGCCGGGACTCTGCTCGGGGCGGGGAGGGAAACTCAACCCGCTCCCCTCCAAGGGGCCCCGGTGAGGACAGCCAGGCACGGGGGCAGGAGACTCTGCCTCACTGGTGAACTGGTAACAAAATCAAAAGCGGGGGTAGGGAGGGAGGCTTGGGGAGAGCAATGTGGCCACCTGGGGGCGCTTGGTTGGTGATTGGGACTCGACCTTTGCCCTGTCTCTCTCTTCTCCCAGTTCCTGGCATTCGACACCCAGTTGCTGATGGGGAACCGGCGCCACTCGCTGAGCCCCGAGGAGCACATTTTCGGAGCCCTCAACATTTACCTGGACATCATCTACATCTTCACCTTCTTCCTGCAGCTGTTCGGCACCAACCGGGACTGAGGCGCCCACCCCCAGCCCCTCCTTCCTTCTGTGAATGCCCCTCACTGGCTTGTGACCCCCCCACCCCCACCCCCACCCCTGGTCCCCGCAAGCCCAGAGATAAACTAGCTGCTGCCCACCTGTGGCCCAACCAACCCCACCCTGCCACAGCCCCGCCCTGCCCTCAGCCATGAGGCACCGCAGAGCTGAGGTCACCCCAGCCCCTGCTAGCCCCCACACGCTGGGACAAGAAGCCTGAGGCCCCTCTGGGTCAGGGAACCCTGGGGGACAAGTCGGAGGGGCCGGCAGGATCTCACATGTCGAAAGAGACCCCAAGACTGAGGCCTGCACTTACCCCCCAGCTGAGGGGTCCTCAGGACATGCCGGGGGTTCTCCAACTCCCACTGCCCCACCCACCCCCCCCCCCCGTTCCCTCCTGGCAGGCACTGACAGTCTCTGAGAGGGGCTGGGCAACCCCGGGGGGCGAGGGGAGGCTACCTGGTGGTCCAGCCTCACCAGCGTGTTCTGAGCGTGGGTCCACCACCTGTGCAGAGCAGGAAGCGGTGCCCTCAGCACAGGCCTCAGTTTACCCTCCTGAGTTACCACCCGGCCTGGGTGGGACAGGAGGAGGGGACAGGAGGTTGGGCAGGAGGTGGGGACCGAAGGACCCTGCCCTTCAATGGGGGCTGCTGGGGCACAGGGTCGCCCCGGGGGGCCGCTTTCTTCTCGCACCCACTGCCGGGTGCAGGGCAGAGACGCCGCCTCTGACCCTGTAGGCCTGCACCTTGGACGAAGGATGTTTCCAGAGTGGGAGGGCTGTTGGGGCTGAGCCAGCCCGGCCAGGGAACCCTTCCCAGGCCTTCTGCACGTTTCCCAGGCCCTCCCTCACCGCTCCCCAGCCGGCCTCCTGGGCCCCCGCTGGCAGCACCCTGGCCTTTCCCTGCTGCTCCGGTCACTCCTCCCAGAGTCCTGAGCCCCCTCCACCCCTTATCACCTCATCAGTCCAATTTGGAGGCTGCCCAGCTGATGCTAACAGCCGGGCCGGCGCTGCCAGCCACTCCATGTGATGAGGTCCGGCCTTCTTATCAGCCTCCAGGCGGCTAAGATCTCAGGCCAGGTATGCGTCAGCCACGTCAGCCACGCAGCCGCGGCAGGCCCCAGTGGGAGTGGGGAGGGGACCAGGGGCCACAGCTGGGGAGCCTGGAGCCAGCTCCTGTGAGCACACAGCCAGCCCAGGGCCAGTGGAAAGTTACTGGGTGCAAACAGAGAATGCCCGGAACCTCTCCCAGGGCCTCTCCCCAGGGCCCTGTCGCTCCCAGTGCTGGGGGCACTTCCCCTCCCCTCCACCCTTCCTACTTCCAGCTCTCAAGACATAGTGCAGAAGCGCCCACCGCCCACCGGGGCCCATGATCTGTCCTGCATATTTAGGAAACAGGTGTGTGTGGGGGGGGGTGGGGGGGTGTTGTATGCCAGGGAAAGAGAAGCAGGAACAAGATCCAGGCTGAGGATAGCATGGTAAGGGGTGCAGACTGACTCCCGCAGCCTTTGGGAGCCTGGGGGGAGGGGAGGGGGACACTCCTTCGTGCTGTCTGAAGGCAGTGGGTGCAGCCCTGCTGCGTACCCCGGGGCAGGGGCACAGCCAAAGGGCACCAGGCCAGCTGGAACCACAGTGGTGGGTGTGTTGTCTTCAGTGCCCACCCTGTCCTTCCATCCCTGTCCCACAACCCCACTGCCAGTGTCACTCTCGTACCCCCAGACACAGGTGGGAGCAGGCCTTGTGTGTGAGCCCCAGGGTACGGCCAGGAGCTGCCTGCTCTGTGGATCCATATTCCCAAGCCCTGATGCAAGACAAGGCCAGAGTGGGGAAAGGGGTCCCCTGCTTCCAGACCCCGGAATCCAGCGGCTGTCTCTCCTCCGTGCCCCCCTCCATTCCTCTCCTCACCTCTTGCCCCCCATTCTGGAGAAGTCAGTTCCCCACCCCTGACCCCACTTTCCCAGCCAGGACCCCAGTTCTGCTTCCCAGAATCCATTTATCCAAGTCCTTCCTCCTCCTGGGAGTGTTTTTGCAGAAAAGGGGATTGGGTGCTCAGCTCAGAATGCACTTCAAAGGCTCGGGGGAGGAGGCAAGCCCACGTCCATCCACAGACTGTGAGGGGGCCAGAGTCCCCGCTGTTGCTGCTGTGGTGGGGGTCTAGGATGCTCTGAACTTCCCCCCAGCCAGGGCTGAGGCCCCGGAGCCCCAACTGCATCATCCCGAGGAGCCCCAGGCACACCTGGATGGGCCTTGGAGGAAGGGCGGGGGAACAGGAATGCAGGATTACAGAAACTCAGAAACCGAAGCTGGGCAGGTGCCACAAGCTGCAGAGAAGGAAGGGAGCCTGCGGGGCCCCTCACATTATTGGCAGGGGAGGGGCGAGGCTCAGGGAAGAATAGGTGGCGCTTTCTGCAGCTAGAGGCTGCCAGGAATTTGGCCATCTAACCTGAAGGTCAGAGGCCCCACAGGGAGACAGATCTGGAGGCGGCAGGCAGGGGTCAGGGAGGCCCCCGGAGTCCTTAGACTCCCACACCAAACTCCAGGGCCCGTGCAGCTCCAGTAGCGCTTGGAGAAGCCCTAGGGATCTTGGTTCCTCCACCCTTTCTTCCTGCCAGGGAGTCAGGATGAGACAGACAGTCATTCCGTAGGACTCTGCCGGGCGGGAGTACAGTAGGTAGGGCACTTGCCTTGCACCCAGCCAAACGTGGGTTCAAGCCCCACCAGGAGTGATCCTCGAGCACAGAGCCAGGAATAAATAAGCCCTGAGCATTGCCAGGTGTGGCCACCGGACAAAAAGCCTATGCCTCGCTTTTTGCATGCCTGGGGAGAAAGCCCAGAACGGCTTGAACACGCTGGGCACCGAGCTTTTACATGGGCACTTTGCTGCCCCCTGGTGGCTACCTGGAGGAAAGCAGGACCTGGTTCTGCAGAGCGAAGCGCAGAGGTGGGAAGATGGACCTCAGCGCCCCCCCCCCCCCCCCCCCCCCCCCCCCGCTCCCCATTATCAGTCCCAGCTCCTTCCTTTAGTCCGACCTTTGCTGCATCTCTCAGACACTGTTCACCTGCCGTCTGGAAACAATCCCTGATACCAGGCCCCAGAGCTTTCTTCTCAGTGTCCAAGGGAGACACCCCCAGTCGCAGCTCTTCCAAGTTTCCCAGGGTACGTGCCTGTCCCTTTCCTTGGCTTCACCTTCCCGGTCCAGGTTTGTGACCAACATGAGATGAGAATAAAAAGTCACCATGACATTCGAATCATTTCGTTGCCTTTGGCTTATCATGCCGTTGGGCTCAGTTGCGCGTGTGTGTGGGGCTTCGTGACTGGCTTCTCCGAGTGAGGCTACATGGAAATCAAATGCCACCTGAACTGCAGCGCTGGGTGCCAAGGGTCACGTGCACAGGAACGTGTGAAGGGGCCAAATAAATAGTACAGGGGTTAAGGCACTTGCCTTGCATGCAGCCAATCCAGAGTCAATCCCTGGCATCACACATGGGCCCCCCAAGAGCCCTGCCAGGAATGACCCCTGAGCACTGCTGGGTGTGACCCAAAATTTAAAAATAGGGATGTGAGCTATGCTCCCAAAATGCCACAGTATTATAAACCAATTGGGCTACACTGGTGCGTGACAGGGACGAATGGAGACGTTACTGGCACCCGCTCAAGCAAATCAATGAGTAACAGTTGTAAACCAATGGAAAATTTTTTTCTATAAAAATTTTTAAAAACCAGGGCAGGAGTAATAGTTCAGTAGGTAGGGTGTTGGCCTTGCAGATGGCTGACCCGGATTTGATCCCCAGCATCCCTTATGGTTGCCTGAGCACCACCAGCAGCAACCCTGAGTGCAGAGCCAGGAGTAACCTGAGAATTGCCAGGTGTGACCTACAAAGCCAAAAAAAAAAAAAAATTTTTTTTTAAACATCAGAATAGCAATCAAGGGACTGGAGAGATAGAACAGCAGGCGGGGTGCTTGCCTTGCATGAGGCCAACTGGGGTTTGATCCCCAGAATCCCAAATGCTCCCCTGAACCTGCCATGAGTGATCACCATTTGCTAAACACAGAGCTAAGAGTTCCAGGAGTGATTCTGAGCACTGCTAGGAGTGGCCCAAAAACAAAACCAAAAAATAAATAAATGTAACTTTAAAAAAAAAATAGCAATCAAAAAAACCCAAATCTCCAAGTTGGTCTCTGGAAGAAGGGATTCTGGCCACCCAGGGAAAGGCGACTGGTGGTTGGAACTTGTCCCAGCCCAGTGGAGGGGAGTGTTCCAAAGTCCTCTGAAGACTGGTTTCTTGTGTCTAATTCTTTTGGGGGAGGGGGCACACCCAGCTGTGCTCGGGGATCACTCTTAGCTGTGCTTGGGGAATCATATGTGGTGCTGGGCATCAAACTCAAGTCAGCCCTGTACAAGACAAGCACACTACCTGCTGTACGTTACCACTCAGGCCCATCTTATGCCCACTGTCACTGTCACTGTCCTCCCGTTGTTCATCGATTTGCTCGAGCGGGCCCAGTAACGTCTCCATTTTTGAGACTTGTTGTTACTGTGTTTGGCATATTGAATACATCGCAGGGAGCTTGCCAGTGTGGGCAAGATACTCTCGGTAGCTTGCCGGGCTCTCCGAGAGGGGCAGAGGAATTGAACTCGGGTTGGCCATGCTGGCCGCGTGCAAGGCAAATGCCCTACCCTCTGTGCTATCACTCCAGCCAGTGGGTAGGGCATTTTCCTTGCATGCGGTCCAATCTGGGTTCAATTCCCAGTGTCCCATATGGTCCCCCAAGCACTGCCAGGAGTGGTTCCTGAGTGCAGAGCCAGGAGTAACCCCTGTGCAAAGCCGGGTGTCACCCTCCGCCCCCCCCCCCATCCATCTTATGCCCAGTTCTTAGATTCTTAGAAGTTTTCCAGCAAGTGCTTTTTCATGCCTTTTTCCTCTGTGGCTGTTGTGGTAACCAGTGAGCCCACACACCCACTGGCAGTCATGCAGATGCAACAGTTCTGAGACACCAGGGGTGACAAGTGCAGTGTCATGGCTGGGTGGTGCCAGAGATGGAACCATC